GGTCCAGCGGTGCACACTGCGATCGGATCCTTGCGGTTGAGGTCCAGGGTGCACACTGCGATCGGATCCTTGCGGTTGAGGTCCAGGGATGCACACTGCGATCGGATCCTTGCGGTTGAGGTCCAGGGGTGCACACTGCGAGGGGATCCTTGCGGTTGAGGTCCAGGGGTGCACACTGCGATCCGGAGCTGGCCAGACAAGATCGGCGAAGCAGATTGGCGATGAAGATTGGCGAGGCGATGAAGATTGGCGAGGAAGGAAGGAAGGAAGGAAGGAAGGAAGGAAGGAAGGAAGGAGGAAGAACAACTGTGATAAAATCTAACAACCCTCACCTGGCAGGTGGGGAAAAATGGATGAATGAACCCTGGAATCTGGAATGGTGATGTGAAACCCAACCCCTTTCGCACCCCTTGCGGCCATCCCTTGGGCCAAGCCACTGCACATTACTTTGCACCGCGGCCTGTGTCGCTAAGGCGGTCAAGGCGCCCAACACGCCACCGTCGCCTCAGCCGAAACGACACGCCCAGCTCTGCATGCGCGACATGCCCGGCTCTGTATGCGCTCGACCCGCCATCCCTGGCCTGTGGGGTCCGGGTTGTTCAAGTACCTTCCAGCGGAACAGGCAGAAACTTACAATCGCGCAGTTTGGTTCTGGGATATTTTCATATGAGCATCCAGGATATGGGATGATATGGGTGCGTCTGGTCATGTCCCTGGTAAAAGAATCTTTCGGCCTTTGTGCAGTGCACCTCCGACAAAGATGGTCCGCGACAAATAGTACTACCGTCACTTTTTGGGCAAGCTATATATGTTGTGCTGCTTCTGATTGGTGTCAACGCGGTTCCTATCCAATCTATGCCTGCCCAAAATGATCGGAGTTCGCTCACATTTGCCTCGTTTCACACCAGTATCTTTTGGCCAGTCTCTGCCTCTGTTGTGGATCTAAATCAAGAATAGCCAAAACAGACTCGCTTCTTTGCGCACTCTCCTTCTTCTGTTCTAGAAGCTAGGCCCTTGTTGTTTTGCCTCGACATCGACAGGGAAACTAAGGTCCACAACAGGTGAAGGCATCGTCATCCCCAATTGGTCACTTCGGTCGCTTCGATTTCTCATTCCAGTGATCGCGCACGCAGCCACCTCGATGGACCCGTGGCGCACGTGAGGGTGGCATCCGCCATGGCCGACAGGTCGGAGGAGGGCATCGCGCCACGCATAGCGTTGAAGTAGGTGCTGCCTGGGCAGCGGTGCGACATGGGCTGGCTGACGCACCCTGACATACCCTGATACTGGAGCATCCGTAAGGTTGTAGTTGACCAGCACATGAAGCTGGAGATGTACATCATGGTGCAATTGATGCTGTCGACGGACAAGAGATCTGGAAGACCGCTCCAGAATGGGACACCAATGAGGGGTCTTTACAGCACAGTTTGTGGCCGACCCCTGTGTTTGTCTGTATCTGTGCTGGGATTGGTTCATCATCAGCAGCACCTAGGAATCAAGACCCAAATAGGGGTGGTAAAAGCTCCACCGAGGAAAAGCTTGTTATATAAACAACCTTAGAGCCAGGAATTTTATTCCCTCTCAATTTGCCAATCTCGGCTGAGCACGTGCTTTTCACCCGAAACGAACTACCTTGCAACGGTCTTCAAATGCCAATAATGGTATATAAACACGAGGATATGAGCTGAGTAACGGGTGGGACCTGGTAGCACGAATGCAGGGCTCTCAGACCAGCGGCCAATCTTCCAGACTTGCGGGCAATCTCTGAGCTGCTGTTCTTCAAATATCACACAGGTTTGTTGGGCCAAACAGCCAACCGAACCCCAATTGATCTTGGCTACATGAACATCTACAAGCACATCTGATCGTTTGAGGTATGGTTGGACCTGCTCTATGGATTCGTAGCTTCATCTTTGGACATAATTCGGGCCATCAATAGCTCCAAATCAAAAATTCAGCTTCCCTTAGCCACCCACTGGCCTTTGCTCACACCGTCAATGCCTGGGTTCATGCAATGTTGATTGAATCCATGATCTGCAAACAATCAACATGGAGGTGGTGCTGGGCATGCCTCATATCTCTACTGTTGGCAATTCGTAATTAATTGCCCGTTGTGGCAGTCGGCAACAAGAAGTACAGTAGAACTCATAGCAGCAAGAACTGGAATACCTTGACGAGGCAAGCTCTCTAACTTGTGTTCATATTGTACATAATTTATCGTAGAGCTTCACTTGCTTAAAGCTTGACTTGGGTGCACTTGGATATGAAATGCTCTGTAGCTTTTCCCATTGCATGTTTATTGAGGAAGCAACTGGAATTGCCCCTGCCCCTGTCCAAACCACCAACATTGGCTGCAGTCCCTTGAACTTCAAAGTTCTTGGAGGCCCCCCGCACGCAGCACCCAAACTCACTAGCTAGTTCTGCCGATGGGTGGGAGGATTCCACAAGTGTTCGTTTTCAATGAACCTGCGAACTTCACCCTATTTCACCTGGCTTGGTGGGTGAAAAAGAAGAGTATACAGTATTCTCTTGTTTCCCCTTGGGGTTTTGATGTTCCTGTCATTGCTTCGAAGAAACCTTGCTGTGGAGCTTCTAGCAAAGTCCTGCAATAGTCTAGAAGCCTTGTAACATTGCATTACCCTTCACATCTTTGTGTAGGATACAGCTTCAAAACGCCTGAACCCCCGGGTTCGAACAGTTCGGTTTAAGACGCTGGAAAGCAAGTGGGACTGGGAAGAGGAAACGAGAGTCCACGGTGTCCCAGTTGTGGTGAACACAGGTGTCCCGGTGAAGGTTTGAACATGTTTGATCGCCAAGCGACTCTCTTGATCCACCATGTCTTTCAGCACATCCGCCTCTCAGTCTGGGGTGCGGGCGCCATGAAGAAGAGGCGTCCGGCGGAAGATGAAATGAGAAGAAGTGGTCTTTCTCCAACCAACTCTTCCGTATGGAGTTAAGGCCACCAAAATACCCAGCTGCCCCTCGTAATGTTGGATTTACCTTACCCATCAAGCCACATCCACAGTTAGGTCCGGGAAGTCCGGGCCTTCCGCAAGCTCACTTGTGCAAGAAGGCCTTGGCACCACGAACATGTCAACGCCAAAAAAGAAACCCTGAAAGCCTCAAGCTGACACGTTCCTCCACCACAGCCGAAGCACCGAAGAGAGGCCATCCGGACAAAGCAGTGGCCACCCACGGGATGTCCAGCAACAAGGTGAGCACCGGGGAAGCAAAGGCCTCCACAAAGGTCGTGCTGGCACCCCGTTTCCTCAAAATGTCCCCTACAGATATTGAAGGTTCTTGGTTAACATCCTTAAATGTTTATACCGAGTGCTCTTGATGTTTCTGCAGGTCGCCATAAGAATTTGGTGATGTGTGGCGCGCACAAAACGTACTGGAGTGATAGAAGGTGCGGGATGCCAACAACAAGCACCCGTCAGTCATCCCCACATCATATCAAGACAACATAATTCATCCTGCAAACTATATACAATCCAATTGGCAACCAACTGACTTAAAAAGCTCATCAGTCTCAAACCTCCCACCAAAGTGGACGCCATCGTCTCACTTTCCAGCGCAGCGCCTCCCCTGCGCTTTGCACCGTCTGTGCCACCGCGAAGGGATCTGAGACTAAGCAAACCTCGAGAGGGCGTCGATCATCCGTGGAAGAGATCCGTCGAAACGGAGCGAGTCATGTCAAATGGTGTGTAAGTCACCTGTCAGGGACAGCCAGTGCTAAAAGTTGTTTTTTTAGGGCTTTCATGGTGTTTGGAGTTTGGACATTTTTGCACCATGTCATTCTTCAGAAGGCCAAAATTATATTGATTCCGAGCTCAAACACCGTCAAAATGATGGTCATTTGCATCAACCCTATGCGCACAATGATGCCAGAAAGACCGACAAGAGCTGCAGCGCCAGCTTTCCTTGAAGCACAGCCCAGTGGTGGTGGGACAAAGGACTCAATAACAAAATGACACATTCATGAACATAGCCATCGGAATCCAATGATCTTGATAGCCTCCGTTCCGAACACAATCGTGGGGTTGTCTCTCCAATGTGTTGTAGGACCTTCGAGCATTGGATGATCAAAGGCTTTCACTCAACAAAGATCAAAAAAGTAAGTGAGCAATTAGCCTTAAGCAGCACTACTTCCTGAACATTGGGTGCACGTTTAAATTGTTTTTGTTCATTTTGTTTTCGGAAATGTGTTTCAAAAGCATTGGAATAGAGCAGGTTTCTTATTAGTACCTAGCTAATTACAGTAATTTCGTGTCCTTAGCCGAGACACAGGTGTCGTAGCTGGCCAAATGCATTGGAATAGTGCAGGTTTTATATTAATTGCTAGCTGATTAGACTAATTTGGGAGCTGTCGTAGCTGGCAAAATACATTGGAATAGTGTAGGTGTCAGAGAAAGTCCTACGTTAGCAGAGAAACAGTAAAGAGAAAGAGAACCAGCACAGGAGGCATATATGATTGGTTAGAAGCTTATGCCCCGGGGAGTTCACCTTAAAATATTGATTTCGTGGCAGGCGCGGGTGTCGGAGATGAAGTGCCGATTTCGTGGCGTGGGGGGGGTGGGGGGGGGCGCAGCGCCAGCAGCACACCAGATCCAAAGGTTAGAAAGCAAACAAATGGAAAAGCAAAAACAATAAGAGAAAGGAGAACAGCTGCCAAAGCAACAAAAGCAACAAAAGCAAAGAGCAGAAAGACAAAAACACAAAAAGCAGAAAAGCAGCAGAAGCAGAAAAGCAGCAAAAGCAGAAAAGCAACAAAAGCAGCAGAAGCAGAAAAGCAAAAGCAGAAAAGCCAAAGCAGAAAAGCAACAAAAGCAAAAAAGCGGCAGAAGCAGAAACGCAGCAAAAGCAGAATCCGAAAAACAAAAATCAAAAAAATGAAAAAACATCCCGAAAAAAAACGCCCCTCCCTGAACATTTAGACACTTAATGACTTTGTGGAGCTTACTGCTGAGATGCGCATCAAAACTGCTCGTTCCAATGAAACTTCTGGCCATGAGTCCATAGCCACACTCGTTGGTGGAGCTGCTGTCAAAGCCGCCGGCTGCCTGAAGTAAGCAAAATCCGGCCTCAACCTGATAGATTGAGCAACATTATCCTGCAAAGTCCCGGAGGGCTGATGCATGGGCAAACGGTTTTTGAATGTAAACATGGCCCCCCTCGTGTCACGTGTCTGGTGTTTTGTCCTGAAGAACTTCATAGGTCCACACCGTAGCCACACTCTTCCAGCAAAATGGCTCTAAAGGTGGTCTAGATGGACCCCCATCGAAATAAATCATCGAAAAACACATGCAGGGGTTTGCGCCATCTACTCTAAAACCACTGTAAATGTGGCCCAAACGGCCGGAGTACGTCGCAAAACTCCCACCTCACTGCAAGTCTGCTGGATATTTTCTGCCAGATGTCGAAGTCTCTCGCTGTCTCCATGACCACAAACTGGTCGGAATCCTTTTCCAGATCCTTTTTCTCACCGTCCGCCATCAAGTCCCCATCTCCATCGACCCTTATCTCCAGCTGCCCCGTCGTTCGGCACCGGCCTTCACCTGCGCGATGGCCTGGTCCACCGCGGTCTTCACTTGGGCCTCCGGGATCCTCGGTCGAAGCGCCCGAGGAAGGAACGTGCACGAAGACTCTCGTCGGAAGGGATCGAAATTCATGTGAATTTCACCACAGTGATGAAGTGACGACTAATACAATAAATGTGGAAAACATTGGAAAACTAACTCATAAATGCACCTCTTTCTCAAAGCAATCAACACGTGGCCATTTCAGAAACAAACCTTGTTTGCCTGGAGATGCGGCATCGAAAAATCCAAAACTCCCTGGTCATTGTGCCATATTGTGCCATATTGTGCCCCGCAAAATAGGGACCCAGCCGACACTGCGGCTGATTTGCTCACTGGCAGCGTGTACAGAAATACCCATATGGAATATGTTGAAACCAGCCTAGCATCAAAACCAGCCAGGAAAATGGAAGAAATAAACATACCAATTCTGATGGGGTTTGCTAGCTGGGTGAGTAATTCCTCCCCCCAAAGCAGGCCTGGATCCAAGATGGTGAGTCTTCAATACATTCCCAAATTACAACCCACGAGACATTGATACTATCTGCATCTATCTGCAAATGAGCAGCGGATTGAACCTGAGATCACCGCAATTCGGGAAAAAGCAACGTCACACGTGGATGGGTCTTCACAAGGAGACCCCTTGGATGGGTAGTGGCACTCATGCATTGCGGGCTATGGAATGGAGGTCATTGTTAAGCCACTTCGGACCAGAAGGGTCCACCTACTGTTACTTTGTGTGGGATTTGGGGCTTCGAATTAGCTGATCACTTGAGGATCGGGACAACAAAAATGGCCGTGGCATGCCGTGGCCGTGGTTTGCCTTTCCAGAAAAGTGCGATCCACTATGATCACTCAAAACAACCCAATCTGGGCATTCTGAAGTAAAAGTGTGATCGATAGCAGGTGTCACCACACAAAAGAACAACACAATTGTACACATGCAATTGTTGATATGATAGTTGTTTCAAACATAAATGACGCATCAACCTGCCGGATGCCATTCGTCCTAATTCTTCCAGCTAAGACAGCCTTCTCCATCAAGCTCGGCTGAGACGTACCTTCTTAGAAACTCTTGGCCGTCTGAAGGGCTGGACCCTCATCACTTTGTGCCCCCCGTGTAGGTCTGAACCACCCTCATCAGCACGTCCTTCAGGTGTTTCGTCCACACAGCTCTTATACTAAGCTGCAAGGCCCCAGGAGTGTCCTCAAGCAGCGCGCGAAAGCTCTTCTTCACCTCGCTGACGTGCCGTGCTCCACCAGCACAGCGAAATCAGAGATTTGACACTCCGAGGGGAGAGCTATGTAAGGTGCAACTGCACTCATCATCGGCTTCAAGATCTTATATGTTGGAAGTGGATGGCAGGAATCCTCAGGTTCAAAAAATAACTCTCTACATCCCTTCCTCATGACTTCTGACTTGGACCTTCCTCACTCCACATCCTAAGTCCGGTACCAACCCCTCCCTCACCCTCCAGTCGCGGGACACTGCGGGACGTCTTCGCGGGACTGCTCCCTTGACTTCCGACTCGCAGACCCTTGACTCGCCCGGTGCGGCCGGGGCGCGTTGGACCAGACCGCCGCATGGGGGCCCTTCTGACACTCCAAGTCTTCGGGCACCGCTAGCTGCGCCCTGTGGGCGAGCGACGCGAGCCGGTGGGTTGGGATCGGTGGTCTGGAGGGGGCAAGAACAATGTTTTTGCCGGGTGCAGTATTTGGTATGGTACTTGGTTCAGGCAAAATGAGATGTGCAAGACTTTCTTGAAGCAAAGTGTGGGGAGTCATTTTGGACCAAGTTGTTCAAAGCGATCCTTGCTAGGCTGTTAGCTGTTAGGTGTTTCTTTTTGTTGGAGGTTCTGTGATCATGCGGGCCGAGGCTTTCAGATTGCCAAGGAGTCTCTTTTTTAAATAACACCCAGCGACTGGCCGATTTCTGAAATCTTGCCCCAGATTGCCCAACTAACTGCTGCTCAAAAACCATGCTGGCCGCAGCAAGAGCAAGAGCCAAATCACCTTAGAGACGGCGATCAATACAAAGACTTCTTCGTCGCGGATGATCGGCTTACATCTTCCAGACCATGCGTCAGGGCGGTCACCTCGGTCACCGTATACCATTGATGGGATTTCTTGGGTGATTTTAACGCACCCTCAAAGCATCCCTTTTGAGACGGACACCGCCTTCACACTATGAATTCCGTCTCATTCTTCCAATAGCATCCAATAGCCGTACTTGAGTGTTCGCTACAACATCCAAGCAGGACGGTAATACTTGCAGAGTGGTACTCAATCCCCGTCTGACATGTGGTCGGAACTCGTCAGCTGTAGCACACATCCCAGCCAGGCACTGACATTCTGCAGCTCGGCAGCTCTGACTAGCATTCAACGCATGAAGCACTCCCACACAACTACAACCGCTACGGTAGTTGTCCTTCTTCTGGCAAAGTCTGTCAAAGCCCAGCACCAAAACAAAGCTTTTTCGGGGTCACCCAGCTGGAATTGATTGGTGGTGTCTGGGGTAATTATCCCCAAGCATGCTACTGGCTAGACTCGGCTAGACGTTGCTGGAAAGCACTGCAACGTCCCGAGTCGGATGAAGCTGGCAAAACACAGCGCCACGGTGTCCAAAGGTTGGACTGATCTGGACTCCATTCTCCGAAGTCTTCCATATTTGGAACATCCAAACAAGCATTAAACAAAACACACACACCAGGCATATGAGGTGACCTGGTCTGACCCCAGCCCCTGCGACATCCTGGTCTGACCCCGCCACGAACCCGGTGCTGCCCAGCTCGCCCGCATGATCAATGCGCAGCTGCCCAGCGATGCCGCTCTGAGCCCCCACAAGCTACGAGGCCCCGGGGCAAAAAATTACAGTATCTTTTTTGATACATGACGCTTTCAAAAATGAAGACATGGAGACCCATTGCTTGGCATTACGGCTCAAATGAGTCAAGTAAATTCTTCTGCACTCGTAATTATGAGGTGTTTGCTCTATATGTATCAATTATCTTATCTAGTTAAGGGTAGGTCTTTGTATTCCCAAGTTGCAAATGGATGCAAATGTCCCAACCGACAAAGGAACGCTCCGCGGACAAATCTCCGGTTCTGCCTTGCCGGGGCTGATCTCGGCCGCGCCCAGCATGAAGTAGACATAAACAAACCTCAAAATGTGGAGGTATTCCGGCTTCTGGATGGTTGACGTAAGAGTGAATCAATGTTGAAAAGCTTTCAGGAGGCCCAGGAGGCCAACATAATTATTAATGGAACATCCAGGCCTAGAAACAACATGACTGTCATCCACTGTAGGCCTTTGGTAGGGAGCATTGACAACGGCAAACCAATTTTGGCTTGGGACCACCCAACTACACCAACTGGACGAGTCTTGAGATGAACTGAAGTGCAAAAGTTTCGGGTGTCTTATGTTTCTCGCAAGATTTGGATTGGTTCTTGCAATGTTTGCCATTGGTGAAGTGCTTGAACTCTCCTATCCACAACTATAGGAAATCTCCAATGTCAACGACCCACTTTCGACCTGGCGGACCTGGTGACCGACAAAACCAGCGGGCGCACGAAGCGAAGCGGAATCGGCACGTTTTCGCCTTCGCGGGACGCGAAACTTCCTGCGTACACTGCATCTTCGGGGATCGGTAAGCCTGTTTGGTGAACCCGGCCCCAAATCGGATTCCGATCCTCTGAGAGGTTTAGGGGGAGAGGAAAGTTGGTTGGAAATTGCAGGGAGGAAATGACCCCAAACATGCTGGGGTCCTGGGACCCCAGAATAGAAGTCTAAGTGAGCTAGTGTGGCTTGTCTGGTTAGCACAACAGATGGAGATGAACTTTAAAATTCATGACACATGAATGCAACTAAGATCAACTAAGTACACAGTATACATAGCCTGGTATTGTAAATTCCTGCAGTGTGTGAAGGGACCACACGTGGTATCAAATCCTAACACTTCGAACCTCCCCATCATCTCCCGAGCTTTCTCCAGTCTATAAACTACATCTTCTGAACACTGAACATCTGAATATATCTGAATAAAGGTATGCTTAACAAAAACTATACTTCAAGCATGGCTAAAGTTGAGAATTCCAGGTTTGTTGAAATCCGTTTTGGCCGTTCAGCAACGCTTGGCTCATGATCCACCCCTCAACGCATGCCTTCCCCCACTTCATGAGGCGGCATGAGGCCAGCTTGGCCAATGGCCAGCTTGGACTGTACACGAAGCCAGCTTGGCTGAGCCTCAAGTAAGGCCTCCTATAAAATGCATCGGTTGCTCAATGGCACTGTAACGATATTAAAATGCCCGCCCTCAGCCTTCCAATCATTGAACAAGCTTCACAATGCAACGTTTGCTGATCTTCCTGCTGCTTTGTCAGTCAGTGCTGACTAAACAAACACCCACAGGGCAGCCATCAAATCCGAAAGGATTCCGAATTCCGGCAACTATTGCAACTGCTTCCTGAGATGCTGCAAATGGTTCAATACTGCATCATATGCACATGAGAACCTCAACCCACCGCCTTCAGTCAGGCATCGCCTATGCCGAGTGCGACCCGGTCGTATGACCCTTGGGAGAAAGCCTTTTTGGGAGCTGACTTGGGCTGGCTGACTGCATTGACTCCACTTCTGCACACGAGTTTGGGCGACCTCGCAGTCCCTTTCCCCCCTTTTCCCTGCAGCCGCCGCTGTTCGCGGCCGACGCTTGAGGCCAAAAACGAACCACTGCGGGCCTGGATAGCGCTCCAGGAGCTCGAAGGAGGAGAACATGCCGACGAAGGCGGACCGCTGCTTGAACTCGACCTGAACGGTGCCATGCAGGGCCACTGGTGCGAGAAGGAGCTATGGGGCACTGCCTAGCCATATTCAGTTACTGTAAGAACTAAATAGAGCACTCAAAAATAGCTGAAACTGACCTGCTGACTTTTGACTGAAAAAGAGATGGAGCTGATCAAGCCAGCTCAAGTAGTAGAAAAGGCCTACCTGTCCAGGGTTCACGCGCATGAGGAAGCATGATGAAGCTACTCATTCAAGAAGCTACTGGATGCTAGTATTGTTTGTTCCCTCCCATTCTGTTCATGTGCTTCATCTTGTTGGTTTCACAGTCCACCAAAGGGTCAAACACCCCTGCGGCATTCTATTCAAGGAGTGGCACATAGTGGCACCGTGGAGAGGGGAAGAAATGAGAACTTTTAGGACCAGTTCGCCCCTCAGTTCAGCTCTTACAGTCTCACGTCGAAATATCGGGGCCCAGTTTGAAGCTGCGCTTGGGCCAGCATATGAGGCCAATATGCGCAGCAAATGTTTCGGATACGGTTGCAAGGTGCCAATGGCGGCTCCAGCATGGCGGAGAGCAATGGGGCGGCGCCCAAGTGTCCAAGGGCTTGGCCATGAAGAACCCAACTAGCTCGGGGGTACATGAACAGCACAGCTTCCCCTACTGCATGCTCAGCTTCCTTCACCTAATTACCATGCTCGTGTTGGGCGCCAGACCGTTGGACCCACACCGGTTTAGGGTCCACCGGCACCAAGGCACGTCCATCGGGATGAAGGGGGGATACCTCGGGAGCTTGAGCTGGTTCGTGGTGTTCATGGTCCGAAAACGACGTCGTGGATGACATGGGGATGACCATTCAACTGGTGAAGCTGGTCTATCCATGGACAAATACAAACCTCAACACATTCGAGGACAATCCTCAGCAGTGTCACATAGTGTCACTAAACCATCTTGTTCACTCTATATAATTGAAATGTGATCTCAAATTAATCCAACAACCCTTGCACAACATTATAGTTTCATGCGCTAGCTCTTTTCGGCAACAAATGAGACCAGCTACTTTATGTGGTCTTGGACGTGGCATATTACTTACTGTATTACATATTGCATCTGAACTTGGCTGAAATTCCTCACCAAAACCCACCAAGACATGGCTCATCCTCAACCACGAGAACAACTCATTCCAAAACATCAAATGAGAGAAGGTCAATTCTCACAGTGGCAAGGTGTCACAAGTCTGATGCGAATCCAAGAATTGGGAAGGAACTTCAAGCTCTGAAAGCTTCAAGCTCTGCCTGCAAGCAAGGCAATGCTGCCGGATTTCGCAAATGATGAGCCTTCCAGGTGTCCGTTCACCATTGCCTGGATGATAGTTGACATAGTTCATGATAGTTCAATGGGCGCCCACATGGATTTGGATTCGGCCCACGGCCATTTCGTCATATTTCGTCTGTTTCACCTTCCGTACATGCCGTCTTCTGTGCTCCCTGTGCTCCTCCTCTTCCACCCCCAACTCCATCAACCACCCCACCATCCACTCCACCACAACCCACACCAAGCGACTTCGCCTCGGCCTGCCGCACTGTCTTGTAGCCCTCAGGCACCTGCACCTCCTTCGGCCGTTGGAAGTCGAAGTGCTGGAAGAGCGTCACCTCGGTACGCAGTGCGACGCGGTGCGACGCGGTGCGACGCGGTGCGAGACGGTCTTGCGACGTGGGAAGGTCCGAATGGAGGTGAAAAGGACACCGTGATCTCAAGCTATTTGCATGTTGGTCTCAAGTCTTTGTGAAGTATATTGGCGATGATTAGTGCGAATCGCGGTCTTCAAGCGTCTTGTGTGTGACAGTGCGTTGTTTTTCTGTGTTTGAGTCTTCCGAACACATCACTACAATTGATGGAATAAATGTCAAGACCAACTCCTTGACCAGAAAACGGTGGAGTCTTAGACTCGCCGCTATCTCGTATTCCGTGAAAACTCCAAAAGATCGCCCAAGCTGCCATGGTCACCTTCTGCTCTACCACCGTGAACTCGCGCCCGATGCACGCGCGAGGTCCCACAGCAAAGGGGATGTAAGCAAACCTCGATCGACGAACCCAAGCGACGATAGGTTTCCTCTCGTTGGAGGAGATTTGCGTTCATGTCCACCAGCCGCACCAGGGTTCTTTGTGGAAAGGAAAAAGACCTGAAAACCTCCCAAGGGCCCTCTGAATGTCCAGAATGTTAATTTGTCGGGCTCGATCAGTGCTGTTCGCATCACACCGGGCATACCGATATGGACAAGTGACAAGTCCACGAAGGTTTTTGTGTTGGTGAGGGTCGCAAAAAGAAGAGCAAAAGAAACTGCTTTGCACGACCAGTGTTTCTCTTTCAAGCATGCGGATGTAGAATGATTTGTTTGTTCCTGGAGTCTGCAAATGTCTAAACTCTCTATTTTAACGTGTCCCAGGATCCTGCAAATATTTCAGCAGCCCTGAGTCAATTCAAAACCTTCGCTAAAAACAAAGAAACTTGAAAAAACACATGTGTGACATCAGCGAAGAACACATGTGCAAGGCAGCCTATGTTCCAGCCTTCAGTCGGTTTCTCCTCGCCATGCAAAGGGATCAACATGGATCAACAGTCTTCATTGGTCACCCCTTGCAGCCCAATCACTTGTCAGGAGCTCCATGCTCCCATCGCTCTGGGCGGAATTCATAGGAATCCTCTCCCCAAAGAGCCTTGCTGTAGTGCAAGCCTTGCATGAATGGCTGGGCTCAAAGATCATGCAACGGTTTCAGATGTACATGTGACTTGCATTCGGCATGCCTGCTGCTTGTCCTGTCTAGCTTCTTTGACCTGGCGTAAAGGAGTTTTTTACTCTCTACTTTGGTGGCCTTGTCGAACGTCTTCAGCACAAAGTGAACTTCCACCCATGTTGACAAGATTCCAATTCAGCTGCCACTGCTGAAGGGGTGCACTGCAAGTTGGAAGGGGCTCAACTCACTCAGGTTGTACAAAAGAACACCTTTCTTGAACAGTAGCAGTAGCATGTGTCAATACTGATGCTTGTCCTGCGTGACCTCCTAAACAAACATGTGGAACAGCTTTAAAGTGGGACACGCGACCTCCCTTGTTCCCGCAAATGATGGTTAGAAACAGCACTTTCTCAAGCATAGATAATCCTATATCGACTCTTACAGGGCAATGGGGGACACCGTAACCACTACCACTTCACTCGACATGCCAACAGGACCTCTGCTCCCTAGCGTGGGACCTTGTTAGAACCGTCAGAAATTCCCAGCCAAGTTGCCCATGGCCTCGGCTCGGCCAACGACTCTCACAGCTTCTGATCTTGTTGCTGCATTTGACGAAATATATTTCGGTGGTGGCCTATTAAGATCAAATAACGGCCTCACTGTTGATGAATAGATCCGTTGAGGTCGTAATTAAAAACATTAAAGACAAAAAACACATGACTAGCACCATCCAAGCCGGTTCATGTCAGTCTCATAAATCCATGGCGTTCAATACATACCTTCCCCTTATGATAAACATGCCGTTGGTGAAGCGGCACGGTGATCCAATGCGTGAAAGACCTTCGGCTACATGATCTACCTACTACCTATGGTTTCTTCCAGATTCAGAACCTGACATAGAAGGATATATAAGATTGTTTTGCAAGGATGCATGTAAAGATGTGCCAGCGACACTGAAAAAAACAAAACAAAACATTATACCTTAATTGAATGATTACCTAGCTACCGGGCAGTTTGTTGCCGTGTGTTCAACAAAAGCTCCATGGAACAATCTGTGCAAAACAACCTGGCCGACGTCTCCCGCAATTGTATGCAATTTATTCTATAAGGGGGTTCTAAGACCCCACAATACTTGTAAAGCACACATATCACCTGCTACAGGATGCAAATACTAATCTTCAAGGCAAACCAATGTGTGGGGAGAAGGTAACATTACGCAAAAATCGCAAAAACATGCAAAAAACGCATTAACCGAACTCCCAGTTGTTCCCACAACTCACAAGAACCTAAACGGATCCTCGAGAAGCATGATTTCAAACACACACTTTCCACTCAACAAAGCCCCAAATCCTTGGCCGCCTTGGCCTTTTCTAATTCTCAGTCACCACACCCTGCCCCTTTTGGGATCCCACTTTCGCTCGCTCGACCAAGCTGCGTTCACGATCACCGGCATGCCCGCATCGATCCGCCACTTCTTCCCCAAGAGCTGCGGCCCACGGGCCTCGCATCGTTTGTTCGACGTCTGTTCTTGTTTTGGGATTGGCGGGTGTCGGTGGCGAAACAAAGAACATCGCGTGCCTTCCGTGTCGGTGGCGGCACGAGGAAAACGCCCTTCGGGCCGCCCAACAAAAACCGAAGGCCGCAAAACGCCAGCGACATCGTCGAATGTCTCTGGAAGTTTCACGGATATCACTGAACGTACGGAAGTGGGTGGCTGCTGTGTTGACTTCAAAGGTAGATTTATATAGAGTTCTAAATGGCTGCTGGTGAATATATGATAATACATGATAATTCACATATCATTGTAACTCTTCAGCTTCTATCTCGGTGGGGGGTGTCCAACAGTGTTTTAACTCTTCAGGTTCTATATGTTGGGGGGGTCCTCTATAGGAAGCCGCCATGGCATATAAGTCGGAGCTTGACAGTCTGCAAACGCTATCGGATATATGAGCTTCTAGGGGGGGTTGACAGGGAAAAGGGACACTGATGGCGATGATGAGGATAAAGCTCCGCCAATTTCTTGCTCTGCTTTTGAAAAGTGCCCCAATACCGTCAACGGGAGGATGCACAGCTTTCTTTGAACCTAGTTATATTCTATATCCCAAATCTATCCTGCAGTTTGTTAATCTCGTGCATGGATGATGATTTCAAGTGCCACGTTCCATATGCCCGTCGACACCTGCCGCATGAAGCCAACGGCAGGCGGCACCAGGCGCATGGTCTCCTACTGTGTCCACAGCTTCGGTGAAAGGAGCTCAACAGGGTTCCAAGCGTCTCGCTCGGTCAACGGCCAAAGAGGAAACAAAAAAAACATGTGAAGTCCGTTGGAGCTCCTCTTCAACAAATTTGCTGAGATAACAAATAACCCTTGATAAGCCTTGCCTTCCATACCTTTGGCAACCAGGACCTGCACCAGAATGCCTCACATGCAACCAGTTGCTCCTTGATGCACCAGTCCAGGTAAGGCATCTGGCTCAAATGCTCCCATCGGATCCTCAGCGACTCCGTCCGTCGCGCAAAGATCGGGAGACGAGCTCGGGTGACGACGAGGACACGCCCCGAGCAGCGTCGGCGGCTCTTCGCGGCCCTTGGCCTTGCAACGTTTGAAAGGTCCGCTCTTCGATCTATCTAGCATGGTCTAGCCAATGTTTGCCGCGTGAGGTCTCAACATGTCTCTACTTGTGCCCCTGAGATGGGGGCACAGGCTTGCTGCGGCTCCCAACCTAGTCCTCCGCCCAGTGGCTGATCGTCTCCTACCACCTCATCGATCTCCTCCATGTGGCCCGGATCAGCAAAACACTGGATACACAAAATGCCTGGGGTGAGAAAAAGAAACGGCCAATCCGAGTCGACCATGTGAACTGTGAGGTTCTTCAGCTTCGTTTGGCGCTTCGTTTGGCCACTTCGCTTCCTGCGACGCAAGCGACGCAAACGACGCCGACTCGAACGGCCTCACCGCAGCGAGGCCCGGTCCTTCACATCACTCTGTTTGTCTCTAGGGCCGGTCCTTCAACAGCTTGGCCTTGCAGTCCGGGTGGGCGCAAAGGTAGCACAAGCAGGAGGCCATGGCCGCAGCAGTGGAGTCTTGCCCAGCAAACAAGAAGGTCAAAACCTCAGTTCACCAGCACGAGCACGAGCCCAGTGTCGAGCACGAGCACGAGCCTGTTGTTGGGGCGCAGCGTGGGTGGATCCTCCAGCATTTGAAAGTTTGTCTTTTTTTTGGAATGATCGCATCCCAATGCTTGGTCATTGTCTGACCATGTTACGCTCACCATCAGCTGGTCTAGAATCTTGTTCGACTGTGGGTCTTCTTGCGCTGGCCGACTACGTGATGAATGATGACATTGCACCTATAGGAATTGGTTAAGGTAACCTGCTAGTGGTTAAATGCTAGTTTCGGAATTGGACAAACACATGAGGACCAAGCTCAGAACATGCCATGCTTCTGTTGATGACCAACAACAACGGTGGTCTACTGACGCGAGTGGCTCCACTCTCACTCCTCGACATCGTGTGGCTCGGCAACGTCGTGTGGCGCCGAGCGCGTCCAAGCGACGTTGTCCACAATCATCTCCTTAGCTGCGGAGTTTCAGCCGTTGAGCGCCCTGTACATGGGTCAACTTGAGGTGTATTCATCCTGCAATACGATATCCTAGTTACCAGGATTGAAGGAGTATGCGAGTTCCAGCATGATGACCCAAGAATCATCCAGAGCTTGTTGTATGATTCTCGACCATCTGATTATATACCAGGACCTTCCAGGGGTGCCCAATGGAAGCCCCTACATCACTAAGGGACCTCCATTGTTGATGTCTTTGTTGTCACAAAGGCTCTTCGGTCATGCCCTGCCCGGTCTTCGGATCCTGGCGCTTGAAACGCGGGCAACCGTGGCGCCACAGGTGTGGCCTTTGGAAGTGATGGTGCCTTTCTTGAAGGATGATCCTGGAGGGCCTCAAGATGTCTGAAGCACATCTGATGCCTGACATGGTCCTGAGGGCTGGTTGGTGATCAACTCTACAAGACTCTGCCAAACAATGCCGATCTCATAACTTAAAAGTCTACAAAGTACAGGCAAGGCACAGCCACAACAGCTTAACCCATATATCGTAGCTCACCCCCCCCCCCCAAAAAAAAACAAACAACTGACTTAGACAACTGCACTCACATCTCCAATGGAGCTCCCATGATCGGAGGCTCGGTCCTTGTCGTGCAGCATCATGTCTAGCAAATCGCGACCTAAGTCATCCGTGGTCGTGGCCGAAGAAACCCTGGTTGTGGTCCTCGGGAGTGTAAACAAGACAAGCGGTCAACGTATACCTAGATCATCGAAACGGCACAAACCATTGGCCTTTTCAGGAACAAATGGCCGCAACAAGACCGGTGTAATGTCCCCAAGTTTGTGCCGAAGATCTGGGTATGACCTACACGGACCTACGCGTCTCTCAAATTCTCTACGCCTTGGAAGATTGCTCCACCGGTGGTTCGTGGGAGTTTTGTGCGTGAGATACAGAGCCTGACCGCTTGATGACGACAAGCTGAGTCCAACAAAAAAGGAGTGATGCTTCCTTTCACTAGTAGCTTCTTGCTCCTAGTAGCGATGGCCTCCACCTAGTAGCTTCTTGCTACTACCAAAAATTGCTATATCCCCCAAGGTGCCACACACCGCTCCCAACTGGGGAAGCATGTCTTAGCATTGCAGCAGTTGTGACCATAAGCCTCAAACCTCTTGGGTCAACAACATGATCTGTGGCTGATGCCCAAAGGTTTCATAACAGTACCAAAAGGAGAATCATGCTCTACAAACGTCAAACTAGACAGGTGCTCAAGATAATTACGTGTAGCATCTGAAACAAACATGTGTGTGTGTCGATCGAGTCTATGGATTCATGCAACGGTCTCATTCAGATCTGCCGTCCCAGCGACGATGATCGTCGCCGGACACTCCTTGCTCCCGGCGCTTGCGGAGGATGTCGACGCCTCACCAGGAGGTTTTAACCCTGAGCACGGGAGCACTAACATCTGAAAGGTCGTTCTCCTCCCTGCAAGGGTTCAAATTCTCTTTAGATTCCCTCCCCAAATCCATCGTTTTGAAGAATGGTTGTTGCATGATGTTGCATGTCCAACCACGTATCATTGGAGAATTGGAGTTTCCAACAACGAGCTTGGTCACTCCGAACCTCATCCGAGGAGCGTGTCATTTAAAAAGTCAACCACAAACATCCACAAACCCCCACAAACATCCACAAACCCATGTTATGTAATATATTCCTGTGAATGGGACCCGGAAAGACTGTTTTCCTCTACTAACCTTTCCACGTGGTACCGGTATTTTTCGACTTGGTGCCAAAGCTTCAGGGCAAGCCCAGTAAGATTTGTTTGCAAAAACTCTGTCTTTGCGGTCCATTCATTAGCCGTGGAGGAGACCCAAAATGGGTTCATTTGTCGTCATCAGTCGCCAAAGTTTTTCGTTGAACACCCTTTGGCCGGTTGTCTTGGAAGCGGCTCTTTTCCGTAAACACACCCTCCCATGCCCAGCTACAAACTGTCCCGGCATGTCTGGATGGTGAGCTCAGCAAAGGACGCAACACTTTTTCCCACCACCGCAAAGACTGTGGCTTCCCTTTGGGAGGCCTTGGCCAACATGGCAGAAGGGACTTTGCTCTGACTTTTAAGCCAAGCAAAAGTGCAAAGGACATATCGTCGGGTGCCCAGAAGAAAAAGGCGCCATCGGCAGCCAGATCTGGTGCTGGACATGTTGCAATCAGAGGTTTGGGTCTCCATCGATGTCCAGACCCTTGCACAATCCTGGGTTGAGTGATTTGTATGTGTACATTCTCACAAGGATGCTCGGCAACTCGACAACTTCAGTGTGCCCTGGATCTTTTGTTTGCCTCCTTTCTGATTCCAGCTGCGAGCAGCAAAGTGCCCCCGCCTCGCATTTCCTTTGAATTTGCCAAAACCTTGTAGCCATAGTATGCATCGATCATCATGGAACAACGACTGCATCAAAAAACCTTCCATAATTTCGACATGTCCACTTTTAAGAGTTCACTGTTCACCGGCGCTTTTGTGCGGTTGGAAATGGAAGCTCCGTTACAGAAAAAGAACACTGAAAGACCTCTTCCGACTCGAACCCATCGATTCTGAGGCATGGATGTCCCCATGTTGCAATGCATTCATCCAACATCGTCCATCGTACATACAGCCCATGTCATACCTCCCAGTTCTCACAGGAACTCCGCATAGAACAACTCAAACACGTGAGGGGGAAAATGTGGGGAAATGGCTTACATTACATTTCCTCTCAGCAATCACATGGCCGCAACACGTTCACATATATTTATTATAGGGGCAAAATGCTTGTTTCAGTCTTTAGGTCTGTCGCATGCACATTCATCGCGATCAAGAGGATTCACTGCAGCAACATGACCATTATAGATCATTATAGTATTACCTGAAATCCATTTGACCTCTGTTTTGACAAGAAAAGACCACATTTTGGGTGGTTGGTGGTCCAAAATAGAGGTCATTCCAGGTATACCTATACACTGACCGGTCACCAGCCCAGCCTCATATGAATGTTGATTATGGAAGATACAATGTGGGAAACACAAAACTCCACGGCGCTAAACCTGAGCATCCCATCAAGCTTCTCTCCTAACTCCCTCTCTGCAGGAGATCAATGTCACCATGGGGACATCTCTTTTGCGCCTCGCGAGTTGCCTCTCGTCGCTCACCGTCTTCGCGGGTTGGGCTGTTTCATGCTGTTCTTATTCCTTCTCTCTTGACTTCCAAGAAACGCAACTGGCTGACCTCCCTACTCCCGGCGAGACTCCCGAACCAAACACATAGACTCCAAACCCCCAACCCATCCCCTCCGATCCTCGCAACCCATGGGGCCACCTTTGGGCCAACCCTTGGTCTCCTGGGCGGTGCGAAGGGTCCCGACGGGTCCCGACGGGTCTGGTGACGGACGCGCTCAGGAGTCGCTGCTGATCCGTTCCTGGATGCTCTGCAGGCTCTGAGCAGCCTCACCTGGCGTCGTTGGAGGACAAGCTGGGGCCCCCAGGCATGGCCGGTGATGTGTGTTCTTTCCTCTTTCCAAGTTGGACCAATATCTCTCAGCCAGTTTGTTTCAAGAACGACTCTGGGTCCGCACCCTACTCCTAAAGCAGCCCGGCCACTCAACTGCCCCTCCAAGTCTTTCATCTTCAGCATCTCCTCGCCAAGGTGGTGCTTCCAAATCACCAGCTTTGTTGGATTCCCGACCTACCTACCGTTAGTCAAATCACATCTCTGCATCTGGTATCTACAATGATCTTCTTTGGTTGCAGACCCCCGCCCCACAAAATGAACCAGCACCACCCAATCTGGATGCTTCGTAGTGTGAAGCACGGGGGAGGTCTTTCAAAGCTCTATCCCTTTGGGTCATGAGCAGCTGCTGCCACTTGTTGCCGGATTCGCAGCGGCACCGGCGGGGGCTGCAACGTCTCCTTCACCACCGGGTGCTGCACCAGCGACGTGGTCAAGTGACGCCAAGTCCTTGGGACCGGCGAAAGAAGCGTCTGCAGGGCAAAGGTCTACGGTCTATGCAAAACTCATCGGGCCGAGACCGGTCTTCTTATTCAGCTTGGCTGCATTCTTAAAGCAATTGGTCCATGTATGGGGCACTTTGTCGAGCTCCAAATCAAGGCACGATGCCCTGGATGATGCCATGGTCAACTTTCATTAACGCAGGTGCTGGGTGCCATATGGCCATATGGTGCCATGGCCAAGCATTCGACAACAAGGTCACGTGTCGTTTCGCCCAGTGCAGTCGAAGCGTCTTGTCCACCTTCCTGAAGGTTTGGATCTCGCCTGGCCGAAGCCGCATTCAAGTCATTCCGTCCATCAACATGATCCCCACCGGGATAGAACAGTTGATCTGTCGGAACCAGGTCTTATATCACTGTCTTGTTTCCGAACCCCCCAGGAAGTCCCTCGATTCCGAACGCCCCCCCTTCTCCACCACGCTGTCCGGCCCAAACGCAAAGACTCATCAGATCGCTTGCGCTTCCCCGACGAGCAAACGTCCTGGCAGTTGCTTGTAGACATCCCGGCCGCTGAAGAGCGGCTCCAGGTTGATCCAAAGCGCCTGCACTTCCTCCCAGCGTGCCAGCATCTCCGACCTGATGGCTGATGATGTTTCTGCTCGGGATTTGAGGCCCTTCTTGTCTGTGTGTGTTTATTTTTCTAACGTCACTCATGACCACACGACTATGAAATCGCTACAGTAGTTAACAAGCCGATGGAACATGAAACAAATTATATGCCCTCACAGCTCGCAAGGGTTATCTATATAGAAGTTGCATGATTTATGTATATATTGTCAGTCCAAAAAACATAAAGCAATGGAGGCCACGGGCCAAACAATTGAACATCAGCCAAAATCATGGGGATGAGATGAGGTCACCTGTAGGTTCATACTGATTCATACTTGTCCCCAAGGTTCTACAGGAAAAAAGAGGTCCTCTATCCAAGTAGTATACTTCTCTGGCAAAACTGGCAAACTAGTCAACCCCCGGGCTTGCATAAAACACACATTGGCATTCCCGTTGCTTTCTATTGGAACAGGGGACCCATTCCTTGCATCGCCAAGGCCAGGACTCTTATTATGCTGGACGGAACCGATCTTTCATCCAAATGAGTTTGTCTCTGCTCAGTTAGTCTAAACAACCTTTGAACAAGAACCGTGCCGCCCTCTCTTGGGCGAATGGATGCCAACAGGTGCGCACATTCACATATTGCAGCCAAGTTGCATTGACTGGAGCCACTCCTGTGTGTTTCAAATGGCTTGGTGGATGGTGAAGGGGTCTTGATGGGGAGAAAAGCGGGCCCCACTGCACCATGTAAATTCAAACCAGGTCGGAAGCATCCACAAGCAGGGCAGGAGATCGAGGTCAGAACCATTCAGATTGGGCCAGGGCCCTCAAAACTCGGTCTGAACAGAACTACACCACCTCTATCCATGGATACTTATATACCGTTATATACCCACCACTCGGCTAAGAAATCCCTCCCACCAAGGACACGCCAGAAAATGCACACATCCCAAGAAGAAGGCTCCCAGCTGGTGAAGATCAAATGGAACTTTGCACCGAGACTTCATGTCATTTTGCACCACCAACCTGTCCTACACCAAGCCCATCCTCCACCAAGCCCACATCGTCCACTCGCCAGTCTTCCAGCCGGTCCTGCCACTCTTCCAGGCGTTCCTCCCAGGGCTCTGCGTCTTCCGAGGCCATGAGCTCCTCCGTGTGACTCTGCTGATGCTCCACCAGCTGCGTCAGCTGGCCTCGCCAAGGCCCGCGCGTCGCGCGCGGCGTTGAAACCGCAGAAGGCCAGAAGCGGTGAAACCGTTGGCCCACGACCATGCACGGGTGTTTTCCATGGAGCTCCGGGGATTCAGCTTTCGAGCGGATGGAGCTCAGGGTATGGAGTTCCGGAAGATGAGACACATAGAGTTCCCACTCCCACTGGTACCACCCTGACAATCCTTGGACCCTCCATGACAGGGGCCCTCAAAACCCTATGTGTTTGAGGGCCCGGATTCTTAGGGCAGAATGGTTAGAATTCGAACATGCCAGGACCGGCCATTAAATGGCCCTGATGGGTGAATGAGCGCGGAATAGAGGAACATGTGTGGACCACGCTTCCATCCCCGTCTGCTGTACAGTATGTCACATTATGGTATATTATGGTCATTCTTCTGCCTTGTTTAGCTCACGAACACTGGCAGTTCTGTTCAACAAACTTCCGCCCAAGTGCTCATGCTCTCTTCGCTGATCACGAAGGCTCCCGTCTGCTTCCTCGACAGCTCGATGTGTCGCAACGGTGGGCTGAGAAGCTTGGGGATGTAACGGTCCCGAAACGTCCCAAACATCCCAAAGCAGTCAGACCACATGTCGACATGCGCCATGTGTTTCGGTCTTGGACGCGACTCGAATGCCACAAAACTGTCCGGCCGGAGTGTCTGTTACATTCGCTTGCTACCCATCTCTGCGCATGGCACGGCTGCACTGCACTGTACCCTTCTGGGAAACGTCCGTGCCGGGACATGACCAAACCGCTTCGGCCATCACAATGAAGAGCATCCCTGGGGCACGACACAAGCAGCCGTTTAGCTTAGCGTATGGTGCCGGTTCTTCCGATCTGACGTCTCCGACCCCCACAAAAATGAAGAGCAAAACCCGCTGTTATATCCATCACTGCCATCCCAAGCGTCCAGGGGTTCAGCGCAAAGGACAAGGTCTTCCACTCGTGTTCCATCTCGTCCGCGGCCACTTCGATGGCATACTCCTTGGTCGATGCTTCACTGATCTCCTGCGCTGCTGCAATTTGCAAACCATGGACTTTGGCTGTGAGGAAGCAAAAAGTATAGACCCATATACATTTAGATTTGCTCTGTATATTGTTTGGCCGGCGAGTTGCTGCTACTAGACTCCACATATAGTTGCTCTTCTCAACCAACAAAGGGTAATGCCGGAAATGAATTCCAAGTCTCCAATCAGGAACAATGCACCTTTAGGTCAGTTGGTCATCCAGCTGGACGAACAGATTTGCATGTTGCGTTGCTTCTATTGCACGGAACAACCTGCTTTGGACACCATCACGTGCACAATGACAACGTCGCGTTGGAACCTGGATCTCATCTGCAAAGTTTGGCACATCCATCTCCAGCGCCTGACAACTGACGATGCACAAACAAACGAACAAACAAGGACGTTGAACAGCACCAACGGTTTGCAACTGCTGGGGGAGAAGGTCAAAAAACAAGCAAGGGAATTCCCACAAAACAATATCAGAAACTGCTCATGCTTTCGGACTGGTTCCTGCTCCTCACTGCCCACGATGGGCCGTGTCAGACTGGAGCTCGCAGCGTGCTAGTCTGCGTGCTAGTCTGCCGTGCAAGTTCAATGACATGGACATTGACATTTCAGGTTGAAACCTCAAACACATCGGCCCGTTCCAGCGCCGCGCCTTCTGCAGGGTGAAGGCGGCATCCGGTTCCAAGGGAAAGCCGACGATCCTCGTGATCTCCTCCCAGTGCCGCGTCTGCATCGCCTTGTTGCCTCGGTGCGCCCGTCGTGGACCACATGAATCGCAGGTGCCGATCGGCATCGAGTGTGACAAATAACCTAGGCAGCCGTGCATCGCCTGGACATGAAGTTTTTTCAGGTGCAACTTTCTGCAAGAATTTCAATTGGCCTGGGGTGGAACCACAGGTTCCATCTGAAAGGCCGAATCAGCCACTTCGGGGAGCAACAAGCACGACAAAGGACTCTCGGTCCAGTTTCACCAGGCCAGTCAGTCTGAGTCCAAAATCTGTTTGATTCATTGACGTAGGGTGAGTGTAGAGAATATGCCACCCCATGCCTACGTGCCTACACACAGCTCATTCATGCAAGGCTCAAAGCGAGTATAGGAGCTTCAAATGGGTCTCCTGCATGGTGGCCGCTTGCACGGCCAATTGGTCGGCAACTTGCGCAGGGACTGGAAGAGGCCTTTCTCGCTCAGTAGGGCCTTGGATCTATGGCAATCACAAATCCAAAGCCTTGGCACAGGACCTGGACCACTGGATCTCCCAGATCTACACGGACTGCATACTCAAGTTCCAAGAAGCGCTCAGGCTGAGGAGATCAGGCATTTGGGTGAGGGTCACACGTATACGTTAACTATGCAAAGTTGCAAATACATCCATTCCAGAAGTTCGAGAGGGGGAGCCCACGGATGTTAGCATAGGAAGAAGGTGTTCAACAAATGCAAGAGACCTTGAAAATCCACCTCCATGATCTCAATGCTCTTCACTGCCCTCAGCCGGCGGAAATGGGGACTGTGTATGACTGTGTCGAGTTGGTGGGGGAACTGTAGAGACCACCTATCGGTGACTGACAGGCGTGGTTTTCTGACCAATAGGTGGTTGTTCACTGCCATAGGTTCAGTGCCATAGATCTATATATAATATATATATATATATCCCACACATGTAAATTTCATTAAATTTCTACACCGACACCCTCAGGATTTCACAACGGCGTTGCCCTGGGTCATCTGGAATCCATCGGTTTCTTTCTCAATGGCTTCGCACGTCTAGACTGAAGGAGTGCACGTAGGAGTGCACTTTCGTGCACCACAAAGACTTGGAAGGTCACTTTGGTTGAGCTCACCAACCCCCCCCCCAAAAAAAAAACTACAAACTGCAAACCAATTTCACATAATCTCATGCGACTTCCTTGGCGCACTCTTCCCAGTAGTTCACAACAATAGGACGCCGCAGTTCATCACAAGTGCTTCATCTGGCTCCACAAAGCCTTCACTCACTCCTTCGCTCTTATTCGGACAACAAGCTATTCAAGTAAGGCTTCTACCGCCCAGTGCAGCACCGCCCAGCACGCCGCGCCGCCTGCGCCAAGGCACTCAGAGTCCGGGTAGACCACACCACCACCGGCCACAAAGAGCTCCTGTCGTGTGGCGCGTGTGGCGCGTGGGAGTCGTGGGGCTCGGAGTCAGGGCTCCTCGGGGCGGTTTGTCAGAGTTAATAGGTGCACCGTTTCTGGAGGGTCTGGAGTTCTGCTGTGGCTGCGTTCGGTCATGAGCATGTCAATCCTTGGAGTGGGGCTTCAATGAAGATGGATCCAGCCCCCACCATGTCGTTGGTTACAAACGCTATATAATGTCTTCCAATGCGGCCACTGGGATCTGCCTGGAAATGCATCTACATTGTATTGCTTCGCTGGGCACTTCCAACCCAATAAATCTGGAAGTGTGAGCCGCTGCTAGCCACCTCCACTTCGACTTAATTATGTCCGAATCAGGTACGCTCAAGAATGCTATAAAGACAAGTTCTGGTACTAGTTGTAATGATCTATAATTAGTTCTCTATATAATTCTCCATGAGCTACAGTACTTTCACACCCTTTTTCCAACCGTCCAGCCGTAGACTTCGTCTCCAGCGTCTCCAGCCGTCCAGCCGAGACCCGTCCTTCAATCGTATCGCCTCCTTCCGCATCTGACGTACGTCGAAATCCACCTGACGTACGTGCGTGCAGGGAACGTACGAGTAGCGCGGAGGGCGGCCGAGGGTGGCCAGGGTGGAAGAAAATATGACCCTCAGAGCAATTAAGTCCCAAGGCGTCTTGTCTAGAATCTACAATGTTACAATCATTGACGTCTTATGACATTGTCTACAGCATTATCGCTAATAATATTGTTTATCTTGCTTTCAAAAGGAGATTGCACAAACTTCAAGAGGGTGAACGCAAAGATCCCTGTCAAAAACTGGTCGACTGAGTCGTCAGGCGATTGTGGCATGATGTGGCATGTGTCATCTATTCAATGCCGTCGTTCTTAGCAAAATATCAATGGATGTACAGTGGATGATGAGGATGAGGACGATGATGAACAGCGTGAACAGCACAAGGAGAGGAGTCCCATCTCAGCTAGCGAATGGTGCTCTAGTTTCTGGGCGCGGAAGCTGTTGGAGAAGGCGCCAGATGTCAAACCGTAAATGTCGTTGTGGTACATGCCTTTAGCCCACAAATACTTTAATACTTTAAACCAGCAACCAAAATAAACAGAACGAACTTGTCGAACAAACCGTCTGTTTGGCATCATCTACCCAGCTCCACCTCCTCCCTTCTTAGCCAATCCGTCTGGTTGAGCAAAGATTGTGATGGGACACCAGCCCAAACGCCTCGACTACCCACGGCCTTCCCCCGGACGTCCGACGGCCTTCGAGGGATCCAAATGGAACATGGGCCCTTTCAACCAGGAACGCATGCTCGCTTCCATGTTGGCTGCCAAAGTCCTTGGAAAAAGACCGGGCGCCGTCCTTGGAACATCTGGGAGGACGACTCATCGAACCGGGGCATTTGCCTGTGTGGCATTGGGCCAAGCAAATTCATGTCATAGTTGTTGCCTGAAATACTAATAGACATTAATGTTTGCGTATGGAGCAAGATAATCAAAGCTCCTATTTCTGGCTCGAACATCTATATAAACTTCCTGTTGACATTCTGGCACAGAAAAGAAAGAACCATCCTTCATGCTGAAACTAAGTAGCCTCATGCCCAAAGCACCACTTGATTGGCTGGAAGCAAATCCAACCAATTTCGTACACCAACCATCACCAACCTCAACTTTTGAGTTCTTGTCACCTCTCGTCCAAGGCACCACAAGGCGAAGTGGGGTTCCAAGGCCAACTCTCCACGCTTCAACTGCTCAAACGGCGACCGCACCTCCCAACCGAAGCGTTTCTCCTGGAGACGACAACCGACATCTTGGCCGGGACCCAGTGTCCCTCGCCATTCCGAAGTGGATATAACGGGAAGCCCTCAAAACGTGGCACACTCCAAACTACAACATCTCTCTCCATGTGACGCACACTATCAAAACAACAAATCAATACAAATCATTCCACCCGCCTTGTGATGCCAACATATTGCCAACTGGTAACTACACCTTCGTTTGGGGAATCTCATGTTGAGGGATGGTGCACGTATGTGCACGTAGTGCACGCAGCAGTAGCTATCCACATTGGACGATGATGATCAAATTTATGCGTTGAAACCAAGTGTCAAGAAGTCTCTGGGAACATGATTGTTCCCAAGGGCAACCATGCAACCATTGTTCAAAACAAAACGTCCGCCCTCAGAACGCTCAGAAAGCCTTCAACAAAAACCTTGGACCGCATTTTTTGATTTCAACACAAGTATATTAATATATATTTTTGTTTGTTTTTGTTTAGTGAGTCTTCTGAAACTGCGTCAATGTCGCAAAAGTCCGTCTCAAAACCGTGTTTGAGCCCACTGGTCCAGGTTCGGACCCCGGATCACGTTCCCGAAAGGAGATCCCCGAGTTGGCTTCGGTCGTGAGTTGGCTTCGCTGACACGAACATGCCGATGCCACGGGTGCCACGGGTGCCGAACGCCTTGGCGTTGAGCTTCTCAGCTTCGATGTGCGCGCGAGCAAAATTGTTCTTCAAGTTCTCCATCCGCTCCAAATACCTCGAACACGCTTTCCGGCTGTTTTGTTGGCAAGGATGAGCAATGTGGGATTCACCCACCAGAACTCCCCAACCAATTCAATGCACCGATCTGCACCGCTCCTGGCTCAAATCCACCCGGCCCTCCGTTCGGCCGAGCAGCTCATCGACCTGCCGAAGGTTCCCACACTCCGCCAGCTGTTCCACTTGTTCGTTGTAGCCCTCCAGGTCTTCCAGGAACTTGTTACCTGGGGTCACCGCTATGCTTTTCTTGGTCTTTTTGTTCCACCCGCTTTTTGGGGTGCCGCTGTGCCTGTTTTTTTGGCGGGGTGGTACTTTGCGGGATTCATGTTTTTCAATGGCAGAATGCAGTCAGTTAGGTTTCAATCTCCAGGGCTGAGAGTTGTGCAGAGTTTATGTTGGTGGTTCAAGGGTGAAGCATATCCTATTTTTCCGGGCATCCTCTTTGTCCATCAGTGAAGGGAGGTTTGAAACTGCACCCCACACGCAAAGCAAACTAGGGTGCGCTGGGTTGGAAAAGGAACAACAGGTTGACAATCAAACATTCCGTTTGCTCCAGATTCGGGGGGTCAGCATTTCAAGAAGAAAAAACCTCTAGCTCAAGCAAATATGAGCGAGAGTCTTGGGGGTGCTGCGAAGAAAAACAGAAGCGCATCCCGCCCTCGCCCATCCCGCCCATCCCGCCCAGTGGCGTTGCTCCTTGAACTTGCTTTCCAGTGCTTCGCGCTCGCGCTTGAGGTTGGTGCCAAAGAAGACTCGGTATTGGATGGAGCCCACCCACATTGCAGAGTCGTACATCGCCTGTGGAGTGCCACGTGGTGGTTGCCTGTTGCCTGTTGTGGCCCCTTTTAGGCAAGAAACCAAACCCCGAGTTTCAACCAATCGACATGATAAATGTGCCCTGAAAAAAGGGGGAAACAAGGTGTCTAGCACATTCTAGCACGATGCTCCATTGCGACATGTGGGGGTTGTTCAAAAGTCCTTTCATTTTTTCCAGGCCTTTCGCAGGACCTTCGCGAAGCTTTCGCAAGCTTTCGCGCGTGGGGTTTTACCACTGTCGGCGAAAATGGTTTTTCGTTGGGACTAGAGGCTTTCAAGGATTCATGCAGTTGCCCTGGCACGTCTTGTGTCCTCTGATCACTGACACATTGATTGCTGAGGAACAGGAAGCCAGCCAACCAAACAGTTTTCATGTTGGTGTGTTTTTGGTTGGGCACAACCCTCCATGAACAAGAGACGGCTCAGTCAGGCCAGTTTGCTCAGACTTCCAATTTGCTTTTTCCCGGCCCAAGCAAAAATGTATCAGACTTGCAGTTTGGAATCCGGCCTGGAAACAGGCAGCGCCTGTGGGACTCGAGCCCACGACCTGCCTGGCGCCTTATCCATTAGGCCACAGCTCCTTGATTTTACTTTGCAACCCTGATATAAACTGATTTTTCCCAATTTGACTCAGACTTTGAATTTGCTTTTTCCCGGCCTACGCTTTCAATTTGCTTTTTTCCGGGCTGGGAAAAAGCAAAATGATCAAGACTTCCGGTTTTGGTTGCGCCCAACCCTCCATGAACAAAGAGACGGCTCAGCCAGGCCAGTTTGCTCAGACTTCCAATTTGCTTTTTCCCGGGCCGGGAAAAAGCAAAATGGTCTAGACTTTCAATTTGCCTTTGCCCGGGCTGGGAAAAAGCAAAATGGTCAAGACTTCCAACCAAGCCATTTTGATTGCCCAACCCTCCATGAACAAGAGACGGCTCAGTCAGGCCAGTTTGCTCAGACTTCCAATTTGCTTTTTCCAGGGCCGGGAAAAAGCAAAATGGTTCAGACTTCCAATTTGTTTTTTTTCCCAGGCCTGGAAAAAGCAAAAGGCTCAGACTTCCAATTTGCTTTTTCCCGGCCCGGGAAAAAGCAAAATTGTTTCAGATTTCCAATTTGCTTTTTCCCAACCCGGGAAAAAGCAATCGGAAGTCTAAAGAGCAATTGTTCTTGCAGCGTGGCCAGGTCACCAACATGACTTGCGCAGACCTTTCGCAGGACCTTCGCGAACCTTTCGCGACTGCAGTGAGAGCACACTCGAAATCAGCCTTTGAAATTCGATCACTAACAAGGAAGAGGTGGGTTTTTGAACGACGCTCATGTGTCTATCACAAATTTGGTTGTCTTTTCTGACCAACGCCACTTTCTGGGCCTGGAAATGCTTCTCCTTCAGCAAGGCCAGCATGAGCTGATTTTCACAGGCAAAAAGAAACAAGAGCCATTCCCGGATGCTGTCGTACTCCTTCAGCAATTCCTCAGTCAGTGTTGGCATTCTTTTCGATGGGCGGAGGCCGGCGGAGGCCCTGTCATGGCTTGGATGTCTCACATCGGAGGGGTTAGGTGAAAGACGACCAACTCGATCTGGTTCTAGTGCCTTGAAGAAAGTAGCATCACATCGCGATCTGGGTGGACAACTCTCCCAGGAGCCATAAAGCTAACAATCACTATACTATCTTGACTACTATCTTGCGGTGCCACCCCATCAACTAGCCTAGGCGGCGATGCGCGGACGAAAGTGGCAATCAATTGGACCTATCAAAGATTATCTAAAGGCCTCCTGGACTCCAATTGTCTTCCCCATCGACTCTCATCCGCCCACTCCCGCTCCCACCCTCTTCCCTGTAGATCGATCGTCTTGCGGAGATCTAAAGAGTCGCAGCCCGCGGCTTTCGTCGGAACCGTTCGTTGGGCCCGCGACGCCTCCCACCACGTGCCAGGCGCCTGCCGCTCCCGAGTGCGCTCCGCCCGAGCGTCTCCCAGCCCGGTGGTGCGGAACTCCTCGATGTACATCTCCAAGTCCACCAGCTCCTCAGCTCCGCGAAACCCGACTCGAGACGAGACGAGACGGGCCCCCCGCACGGTTCCCGCGGTTCTGTCTTCGCTTTCTTTTTCGACGTCACACTGGTGACGGATGGATAACGGTGAACATGCAGTATACCTGTAGTGAAATTGGTCTTCGGAAATGCAGAAACCTCCAGAGATCTGGAAATCATGGCCAGTCCGGTTGATTCATCACATTTCATCACTCACTCGGAGTGGTGAGTTTCTTTATGGATCTTTATTTATGGGCCACTTTCCGCACAACAACCACTAGACTGCTATAGTGGCTTCAGAGTAGATGGCACAATCGGTACAGGGTGGTTGATACTGATACGGATCGATCCATATGAAAGACATCTTCGGGTTTGTGCCATCTACTCTGAAACCACTGTAGGGGTATACCAACTACTGGCACTTCTGTGTGTCACAATGTGTCCTACAGCCATCTAGATTCTAGACTCATCCTCATCATCCTCATCCTCATCCTCATCATCATCCACAGAACCTTTCCGCTGCCCGCTGAAACCGCCAAACCTTTCACTGGTAGGGCGCGCCCGCTGCGCCCGCTGTTTCACCTGCTGAATCTGGAGGCCTGGAGCACTGCCTGGAGCTTCCATCCTCCTTTCCTCCTTTCCTCCCAGCTGGTCCATCCACCTTTCCGAAATCCAGGCTTCCATCTCACTGGTTGGTTTCTTCACCACTTGGTTCACCACCTTGGATGCCGCCATCGTTGCACTCATGTTGTGACGAATGTGGTTTATGATGAAGAAGTAACAAAAAGACGATCTCGGGTTCACTTGCGTGCTTCACTTCACTTCGTTTGAATACAAGTTTCGCCCCAGGTGCAAGGTGGAAGGTATGCTTGGAATAAATCGGTTGCTGATCAAACAGGGTTCCAGCAGTTCACGACTTCCAATATGTTTTCCATGCATGAACAAATTAACTTTTCAATCCAGGTCAATCTATTTTGGGCTGTTCTCACCGGTCCGAAGCGTAGAACGTGGCCATCTCGACCGTAGCTACGCTCGGCCTGGTGGGCCGATGACTATGAGAAGGTCCGATGCACCAAACCCTCACCGGCTTTTGGCACACCGCCATCACCACCAACCCCACCTTGCACAAGCCTACTGCGCATGTGTGACAGTTTATGCGCCTATGCACCTGTGCGGTCACGCGCATTTCCCAAATCAACATCAGGGGGCCATCTCGAAGCGCTTGCAAAGCTCCTCGTTGCGCAGCAGCAAATGCCGGAGAATGGACTCCTGCAGAATGTAGATGGCCTCGCAGCCGCTATGGAGAGAGGCCGAGGAAGGAGAGAAGCCAATGGAGAATCGACAGTTCAACGGGCGGAAGATACAGCTCCAAGAGCGCATGCAAATGGATGAAGCCAAGACCTCTTCAGCTCTGCGCCTCTTCAGCCTTCTTCTGCAAGGTCTCGTTGATCTGGGAGCATTGGATGGACACCTCGGAGGGCGGCAGTAGCGTCGGAGTAGCGCTGCGACGGGATCATGGAAGAAAGTTCAAACCAGTGGTGACCGTGGTGAGCCTCTTAGCTGTTGATTCTTTTCTCTGCAGGAGCTGTGCTTGGACTTTTTCGAAGCTGGTTGGCCCTGGCGCAAGAATCTGAGTTCATCTGAGTTCCCTGTTGCCTGCACGTCCCTGGCGCAACTGCTATAGTCACCACCTCTTTTCGGCCCTGCATCGCTGCACCCGAGCGCGCTGGCGAACGGTCCACGTCTCGGTGAAACCGTCGGCTCGTCCCATCCAAGGTGCCATACTTAAGCGAATCTCTTCGGCACAAGTGCTGCGGATGCTTTGCTGCACCGAGCGCAAGGTCTTCAGCTCCTGCATCACATGGTCCTGCACAAAGGTGGTGCGTAGAACTGGAAGGAAAAGGACAGCGAGTGCATCTGCCATTCCCCGCAACATAGCAGCAACCTGTTGAGAGTCAAACATTCTCTCACTGAGCTTCAATGGTTTCCAAACGTTACCAGTACCACCATCCTTTCAATTTGAGAAGCCAGCCAGTGTTGTATATGTAATCCATGAAGGGTAAACCAAGTGAACCGTGAACCCGGTTTGGCAGAAGCCCCCGAACTTAAACCAGACTGGCCCACCATCCGTTGAAATCGCCCACCATCACGTGGATAGCGGCGACATTTTAAATCATCATCTCTGTGCCAAAAAAGCAGGAACAAACCTCAAACACACCGGACCAATGAGAGCTGCGCTACATCTGTTTCCCTCGCTCCTGCGTCAAGGTGTCCTCTGAGAGTTTCTTGATCCGGACATCCTGAACGATGCGCGGAACTTCCGCGCACAACACTGGTGAAGCATGTGGGACAACAAATGCTCTATGCCAAGTATACATGGAGGATCCATTGATGTAGGCAATGTAGGCTCTTGATTGATAAAGGCCCACCACTGGGGATGTCTCTAAAAGATGAGGGGCACCTCCAATTGGGATGAAATCCAGTCATGCTGTTTCCGAGTTGGGGAGGTCACATGAGGCCACTGCCACCCTATTGTGAGACACACCAGGCCTCATGCCATCAAAATGGACCAATGATTCTGTGAACAGTGACAGGGAGCTCTCAAGAAGACCGATCCGAAGAGAGATAACAGAAAGACGTTTCCCATCACGTGCCCATCAGCATGATTTGGTGTTGGTTGGTGTGAACCAGCTGTGGTGTGAACCGGCGCCGCCCGAGCAATGGTCGCCTCAACGAGAAGGTGTTTGAACTGATCAAAAGGAGCCAATGCTTCCTCCACTTGCGCCTGAGCCACAAGGGGGTGCCGATTGCGGATCGGCGGTGTCGAACGGCTTTCAATAGCTTGGAGGCTTGGAGGCTCGAGTGTAGGAGGTGCAAGTGCTCTGTAAAACACCCTCCTACCCCTACAGCCTACAGCTGCCAAAAAAAGAGTTGCTCTCTTCTCACCGGCCTCAAAACTGGGCCCAAAGCTACTGTTAGTGCCGGCAGGATGTTGGTGAGATGCTCCAGCTGTTGAAGCATATCTTATACCTTATACAAATGAAATAATATGTACATTAATCATTGGGATGCCGTGTGGCCAAAGGCGCGGATCACACAAATGCCCTGCCATGATGATGACGATGACGATGAGAATGAGAATGATGAGGATGATGCTGATGCTGATGCTGATGCTGCTGATGATGACGACGACGATGTTCTTTTGAAACTACAATTTCAAACACCTGCGGGCAGTGTAAACCGCGCTTCCCACAGCCCAAACTTTCCACCCATCTGTCAGCCTGGCAGCCCCTCATGAAGTCCCATCAGTCTGTCGGTCGAGCCGAGGCTCCAAATTCTGTAAGATGCTCTCAGCGATTTGTTGCAAAGCATCCTGGACGTGAGCTTCCTGCCGAGAGCAAACGCGTGTCTGCAGTGGCGGGTGGTCTGACACAACAGCGAGTGTGGGTGGAGTGCCGGCGTCTCGGCAATTTGTCGTTGGAGCTTTGCTTTAACCCTTTGACGACCAACGACAAACCGCGACGACTTACCATCTCACCATCTCTCGACTTCGAGTCGAGAGAAAGTTGTCCTCTGAAGTCCCGTTGTGTGCCATCCAAGTTTGAAAAACGGGGCTTGTATGCGTTGTATGCCTTGGGGGCCACATGGGGCCACTACCCCTACTTCTCCCAGCTGCAAACCATCCGTCCAACAGAGGTTCTACCTCCAAGGTCACGCTCCACAAGGTCACGGTGTGGTCGTTCACTGTGAAGCTCAAGTCACCTGCAACGTCCAAAGAGACACAAAAAAAAAAACGACACACCTTCCGCTTACGCCCAAAAAAAGGTGGAAACACTTGGCTTCGCGCTTCTGAGACCGCTTGGACTTCTGAGACTTCTGCATGTTCGTCCTCCCTGATGCAACAACTGTGGAAAACTCTCAGATGTGACTGAAACTCTTATAAGTGACTCAGCTTTTGCGCCCTTTTCAAACGAGAACGTCGTTCCCATTCTGCGTTGTGTTCGTGGTTGGAAGTTCTGCAAATGATCCAACATGTGACATGTTCTACAAGTGTCGTGAAATCAAAGGAACGGGTTACTTTCAACAAACATAATTCCCCAATAATAAATTCCTCGCGTCTGAGCAAGAGTGCTTTATGTCATGTTACTGCAAATATATATATATATACACTTGCTTTCCCCAGAATACGCATGTCTGCTCTATGTGCGCAGCCTTAAACGGAGGGACAAACACTTCCGGAACAAAGACACAAAAAAGCAAAAACAGCAAAGTGATTGTGCATTTCATGCTCATCCAGAACCCACTTGTGAATTAAGGACTCTCAGGTGACCGGTGACACCGGTCAACCACTCTTTGTGACGAGTCACTCAAACTCACCACAAAGTCCTTGAAAACTTGCCTCGGGCGAGGCATGTCATCTCATATTGCCTGTTCGGCCTGTTTCAAGGTCGATGTGGGCAACATACACGGAGTGTATGGGCTGAAATTCTCCCCCCACCCTGCTGGTTGCTCCGAGCTGAAAAGCCATCACTACGGGTCACGGGTCAGGGGCAGCCAAACGAAGTGCGCACACACATCCGCTGGCCAAAAGCGATCAGCCAAGGGGCAGCAAACTCACCTGGGAAGTGGCGGAACATCCAATGAATGACATTTTCAGATCAATGATTGCTTCATAATATGTACATAGGAGCGGTCCATTACTCTGGTCCTGCGCTCTTCTGCTCATCGAACGATCAATACAGCATACGGATACGACTCATCTCTGACCTTCCTTTAGCAAGCAGCGACCACCACTGACAGGAAAAACACGGTATAGAAGGACCCAGCTGTCGCACCTGTCCAGTCGCAGCCGGTCCGATGGTATTTGGTCCCGGATGGTGAAGGCGCCGATTTCAGCGTGCCTCAATCTCTTCCAGGGAGGTGGTCAACACAATCTGGTCGCCCTTGGCCTGCAAGTTCACCCGCAAGAAAGCCTCCAGTCGACTTGGCCCGAAAAAATCGAAACCGGACACTTGGCTTGACCTACCTGGGTCACAACCCATCCCCCACGTCAACAAAAACATGTCACCCTGTCACCCAGCAAACGGACTTAAGATGAATCTACTTTTTGAAGAGTCTTCCATGACCAAACAAGTCCACCCATGGGCAGCTGGACTGGTCACGGATAGATCCTTAGGAGCAAAGGATCTGTGTGAAGAGACTGAAGAGACGGAGCACTGGAACCGGCGCCTTCATAGTGTAAGATGTGGATTGTGGAACTCTATTGCCACCATATTGTCACCATCTACCGAGGTGACCCTCATTGGATTGGCTGATGTCCTTCCATGTCGGCCACTGCCGAAGACGCATCTTTGAACAAGCTCTTTCGTGCGTGTTGCGCTGCGCGTCGTGCGCTGCTGTGCGGCCTCCACTTGCCGGGAGGGGCCGAAGAAGTCCAAAAAGGCGTCGATGCTGCCTGCTTCCATCTCTGGTCGTATTAGAATGAGCACATGGCCGATTAGATGGATTGATCAACAGGTTGATGATAGATGGATTGATACATAGCTGTGTGAATTGGTGTGTGCTTGTCTGGGGGGCCCACTGCTGTCAAGTACAAATTACAGCTTCAGGTCACCCCCATCTGGTAACCAATCCAAAAACGCGCCCGTTTTCAAATGTGGATCTGGATGAATGCATTAATTCCTCCGATCATTGGAGGGTCAAAAAAGGGTGGATGATTCGACAAAGGCTTCAAGCAACAGTAATAGCCGTGACTCTCGATTGATAGTCTCAAGGTTTGAAGTGCTGAATCCCAAAGTGCGGGTGGAAGGATTATGACTATGGTCCGTCTCACCGGAAAGTCCTCCAGTCCCTTTAGACTGAGAGGTCTTCGGGGTTGGCTCAATCGCACCATGTTGTGAACCTTGGGATGCCGCTTTCAGCAGTGAGTTGGGAAGATCATCTCCACAAATATCTCTCCCCTACTCCATGATACTCCACATACGTCCGATGTTCTTTCTGCGCCGAGCGGCGGTCAACGATGCCGCGCACTTGTGTGCACAGCAAGGTGATTGGCCAGAGTTGTTGAGGAGTCCTTGGTCATGGATGGACGGTCGCAGTCAAGAAGCAAAATCCCATGCAACTAATTATGTATACACTTATACGTTGTTATTATTACTGCTATTATTTTAATCAATATTATTGTTATACATATATATAATATATATATATATGTATGTGTGTGTGTTTAATCAGTTTTAATCAGTAATACTGCTAAATAGGAGTCCAAAGGTATCAAAGAGGGAGATAATGCTCAATCTCTTCCTGATGGAAAGCTGCTTGCGCAGTGCACCTTTCAACAAATGCACGGCAGGGACCTGCCGCTTGGGTTGTCTCGCTGCTCAGCGAAAAGGAGCAAAACCTGAAGACATCTGAAGACGGACCTGGTCCACAAAAGGTGGGCAACCTTTTCTTCCAGACTTCTCACTGTGCAGTATAAAGGACTTCCCATTTGTTTAGCTGGGGGGGGATCCCTTTTAGTTTTATCAGGATCGGTTCCCTTATCTCCCACAGATACTTCTTTTGCACATTCCCATCCGTCGCCCGCGACTCGGGGAGACTCACCCGCGACTCGCGCGGGGAGGGAGAGTTCCGAACGCGTGAGGGTCCCAGCGTCTGCTTCAGAATCTCCACCACATCTCCCAGCCACTGTTCCAAGCCTCGACCGCTTTTGAGGAGCCGGTGTTTAGATGGCGTTTTGCCTTCAATATCATCGGCTTTGTGCTTCAGAAAGCCGGATTTTCCTTAAGAAGGGGCGGTGAATTTTGGGGGGGAACTTTTTGGTAGGAATTGAGTAGGGAGAAAAGGACAACAAGTCCAAACAACACATTGCGTCTTGGTTTGTTGCACCATTGCTTTGAAGAACAAGAAGAAGAAGAAGAAGAAGAAGAAGAGGAGAGATAGAGATAGAGAGAGAGCCGCTTGATCATGTCAAGTACTTCTGTGTTTTCACTCCCTGGTGGCCAAACATGGAAAACAAAAACATCCGCAATTCCTAGCCTTTTGTTTCCATTTGGCCGGCTTGCTGGCTCTCACACTCTTCATCTTCTGGGTCTGTGCCGCGCAAAAGGTTTGCAGGTCCATCAGATCACCGCTGATCTCGGGGAGGTTCACCAGCAGCAGGGTGTCCTGATCAGACAAAAACGTCTCCCACCACCATCGATTCCGGCTCCGGCCGGAGCAAAAGGCCGGAAGATATTCACTCGGCTCGAACCATGATGGACCCAACAAGGAAGCAACAAGCGCAAACAACTATAGTTAATTAGGCCACTGCGACAAAGGACATACCACAGGTTCTGATGGGGGTGCGGAGGAGTTGGTTTAGGCTTCCCACATTGAATGTCGGTGGGTGTACAACTTTGCTCCTCATGAACCTTTGGCCCTGACACCTCCATTTGCAAGACAAGTGTCATGTGATCCTGTCACTACAGGCCTCGAAAGAAGAAACACCCACCATGACGCCATGACCCGCCATCCGACACGGACGACGCGAAGAACGCGGATGCCAAGGGTCGTAGTTCTGGTGCCACGCTTCCAACAAGGACAGGGACGCCGGACTACAAGGAATCAGTTGATCCGCCAAGGACACGCGCCTCATCGCCGCTCTTTGTCCAAGGTGTTTCTAAGCCTATGGTCAGTCTAAGCCTATGGTGCCCAATTGGAGGGAAATTGCACCAGGGCTTTTCATCCCAAGGGAACAGAGCAAATAAACACATCTTCCACAGGTTTCAGTCAGTGTGCAAGTGGTACCTGTTGATACTTAGAGACATGCCTATATAATCCTATATATAACATATTGCCTCATCCTCATCTCCGCAGCGTTAGCGTTGCGATCTCACCCCCCAAAAAAACAGCAAGTGGCTTGCTTTCAACACGGGGTTTGGAAATTTGCAGGAGGTTTCGAAGGAGTACCATTGGATGGTGTGCTTTTCACCAGCCTCCAGCTTTAATTTACATGATGTTTGTGATGCTTAAAGATATAGTGGTACCCTAAGAAGACATTGGCGGTGATACCCCCCCAAGAAGCTGTATGCTTGATGCATTCCCCGCGCCCGAATCCTGGAGAACAATGCAAACAAATGGTCCGTCAGGACCTATTTGGATGCACTAAATGTTTGCCCCGCAATAAGCATCTTTGACCTCCCGTTCGTAGTTTTGCTCATGGTGGATGGGAAAAATTCCAGGGTCTCTCGTTCTTGACCCAAGGCCCACAGCCTGTAGCCATATTTTCCGCAAAAACCATTCCACCAGGAGTCACAAAGGGGTGCCGGACTTGGAGGATAGGCACACACTGGATGGGACGGAAAAAACACGCAACTCCATCATGTGACTCCTAGTGCCAAGCTCTTCCTGGCCTCTTCTCGATGCTTTCCCATCCCTCGGGCAATCCACCAGCGGTTCCTTCGATACCTGAGAACACAGCAGCGCCAAAGATGAACACAGGCAAAAGGCACAAACCTTACCTGGGATTCAGGAGGAAGTCAAGAGTGTTTATGTTTGTACCCAATCCTTGGTTTGCAATTTGTACTTGGTCAGCTTTGGATTCAAGAAGTCCAAACTTTTTCCAAATTATCTGGCATTCTACCCAAGCAATCCATATTAAGCAGTACAGTAAGCAACAGTTCTGCCTCAATTGTTCCGATCGAGACCCGAACAAACAGTTCTGCAGTGTTTCTTGCGCGCCATTTTGCACTCGAAATCTCCTTCAAGAAGGACTCTGGGATTTAAATGAATGTGTAGTACAATTGGGGGACCTGCCAAAGGCACCCTCTTCCAGGTTCGGGAAACAAATAAACCAGTCAGTCTAATCACTGCTCGGGTGTCTCCCTATTAAAATGCACACCCCACGGCTCCCCGGCTCCCGGCTCCAAGTACCCTCTAAGAAGGTGGGACTGGGGTGGGTACCTTTTGAAGAGTGACTTGGAGCCCTAGGGACAATCAAATGATTCCTTCTGGGACTCCGCTTTGCTTCGCTTGGCCTTTTTTGGTCGAGACCGAGATGCCCAGGAAGGCTTCGCTGCCCCAAAGCGCCACGGGGCTGGGGACGAAGAGGATCCCCGTGCGCTCCTTGGCCTCAGAGCGGTCAGGCAGGGAGGGAGGATCGGCATGGGATTTTGACACCGGACTCACTTACAAACAGGTGAACTCAACGGACTCAGTGTAGAATGTGGGTCAAGGGGCTTGGGTTGTGTAAGCTTGGTCAGGCCTGAAGAAGCACGTAAAGTTTACACCTGCATACACCCGCCACTGTCCTCTCCTCGTGCCAATCCTCAAGCCTAATGAGGATGATGTCAAGTCAGTATCAATAAATCCCCTCCACTTAGTCCGAGCCCACAAAGCACCCAAAAATTGTCCAAGTTAAAAATATAGTATTGGTGGTTGATTTCCCCCCCTCATTGTTTAGTTGGGGCACCACATGGCACCACCCAGTTAGCCCGCATCAGCTCATCCCCTCTCAAACCTTCATGGTCCAATGGCATCATAGCACATTATTCAGGGGGAGTGGACCTCATGAATGGTACCTTCCATGTGGGGGGGGTTATTAATCCGGTCTTCACATTAAGATGAATCAAATGTCTGTGGGTCAAAACTGGGGACCCGTGTTGCCCACCGAAAATGAACGGAAACTTCCAGCCAGGTCAACCTCCGGCAAATGGAGCTCGCCAGGATAAACACAGCACATCTGACGGCTCATGCGTCCGTCCGGGCGACTTTCTCATCCTTCAGGACGTGCTCAATGATCACCTTTCGTATGGCTTGGCGATAGTCCTGCAACACCTCCTGAACCGGCGCGCACCGCGAGACGTGCACCGCGAGAGGCAGTGTGTGTCTTGTCTCCTCCGTGTGTCTTCGTGCAAGACGGCGGAGAGTCTTTGAGTGAAATGAGGTTCGGATTGTGAAGTTCCAAAGGATTTATATATGACAAGATCATGGATGCTTGGAAGAAAACAGTGTCCTTCTATGTCCTTCTAACTTCTGCATGCCAGTTTCCTTCCGGTTCCATCTGGTCTTTGGATATCTTTTTGGACAGTTGCAGTTGAGGCACACGTTCTGCACAGTCCAAAAAATATTAAAATCGATCAAAAGCATGAATAGAAGTCGACCCAAATGAACCCGGTCGTTGGCTCAAAAAATATCAAAGACAAGTCTGCAACTTGGTTGCATCACATCACGTGGCAACCCATATCCCGGGTACGAGTATGGGAGCATGTCGAAAGCCGAGATAGGCTGTTTCCTTTATGGTCCGCGATCAAGCTGAAGAACACTTGCAGTGTTTGGCATGTGAGGAGCACTTTTTTTCTCCAAAGGGCACAGTTAACCCAAACAAGTCCACCCGATCCGGGTCCAGCACCGACTCCTGCGCCGGCGCGTGACACGGGCGGCCACCGCACCTGCCACATGTCTTCCATGAGCATGTCCTCCTCCTCCGACAGCGTCAGCGCCAGGCGCCGCACGATCTGCTGGGACCAGCGATCGCTAAAGGGCGCCAAGTAGCTGTCTGGGATGGTGTCGAAGTAGTAGTGGTACCTGGACTAGGTGTGGATTAAGCAAATGGTAATGAGAGAAGATTTCAGCTGTAGATTATTTATATTCTTCATGTTTGCGTGGATTCCGTGCTGGCCAATGGCCAATGTGGTTTGCGGTGGGAGATCTTCACTCCATGGGTAACCACCTTCAATCTCACTGACAAAGCTCGCTGAATGGCATCAAATACACACCCGATGGACCTGATGGACGCAGAATCATAGAAATTCAAACCCAAAGAATCCATTGTTCCATTATTATATCAAAATGTGTATTCCGTACATGGTGGGACAGGGTTTCAAGAGCTTCAACAGTTCAAGTTGAAGTGATGCACCCCGATGTCTGGAAGGCATTAACCTCATTTGCAGCAACTCCCCATCAGGGATGGGCCCCCAGCTTCCCCGGGCCGTTGCTGTTCTCTTCACAGCCGACTCAGCTCACACAGCCGACTCGCGCCAGACGACACCGAAGCGCGCCGCCGCGCACCGAAAGAAGGTCTCGAAGAAGCGCTGCCGCGAGAGCTTCGCTTCTTGAAGTTCCAAATCCAAGGGCGAACCCGCCTGCCACGCGGGGTTTGGGTGGAACCGGAGGGGGTTTGGGGGGAATCCGCCTGTCGAGTGGACCAATGGAACGTTCCGGGAGGAAAGGATCGAGAAGAGTTTCGCGAAGTGGTGAGCCATGAGGATGGCTGAGGAGTCATGGGGAAGTTGGAGAGTCATCTGCGCGACTGGGGAGGACTTCAGATCATGCTATAAGTCTACTTAGTTTAATTCTAATTTGTCACTACTAGTCAGGCACTTGTTACTAGAAGCGATGCACTTGTTCCTGGTAGCTTCTTGTTACTACTCCTTCCCCTTTTATAATTTCATGCACTAGATTCTAGATACATGCACCTTTGGGCTGTGTGGCGGTTTCGTGTTTTTTTCCTACATGGGTCCTCTTTTGTGGAAATCCGCAGTGAAGAA